ACCACTTTTAAGCTTCTGGCCTGCAAGAAACTGCTAACCAGCTGGAAAAGTTGCGGAGTCAATATGTTTTTTAACTTAAAGAGGAGGCCTTCATGCCACACCCTGTCGAAAGCCTGCTTAATGTCCATGACCACAGCTGCCGCATATTGCTTCTCCTCCATTGCACCACTCGATGTAAGTGCTCCGGAGTTCCATGACCTCGCCTAAACCCAAACTGTCGCTTTGGTATATTGCGCTTCACCGCTTCAAGTTGCAGGATCCGGTTAAGTACAATTCTTTTCGCCATTTTCCCAAGAGCAGGCTTATAGGGCGATATCCATCTACTTCGTTGTGGCTCACATTATAGGGGAAATTATGTTTGCAGGCGAGCCCCGAAAAATTTTGGAGCTGTTAGTGGACGCCGCTCCACACCATTTTCGTCGCCTTCTTCAGTTCCGCCAGTCGATTCTACTCGCCTCTCCCGAAAGCGCCAGTTCGGCTTAAAGCACAGCAGTCGCTCCGATCGGGAGACGCGCGGGGCGAGCTCGGAACCCGGAAACGTTTTAATTCCCAAATGGCAACTGCACCCGACCCCAAAACGGCCATCGGAGGAGCGGCCTGAAAAAAGTCCGGTGCAATTCCGCCCGGATTCGCCAGTAAAAGCCGAGCTTAGTTTTTTTTTGTGTTTGAATTTTTTTTTTTGGTTAGGTTCAGTGTTGGGCTAAAAAATCTAAACCTAAAAATCGAATACCAGAGGCATTGAAAAATTGACTAATTAGCCAAATACCTAAGCCAATGAGCTAGTTTAAACTCCATCTATCTTCCGTTCCCCTCTAAGCTATTCTCTTTCCTTTTCTTGCTCCCGGCAAAGCCGATTGAATTAAAAAGAAAAAAAAAATACCATGCATTGCCCGAAATAAAAGAGACAAAAAAAAGAAAAGAGAAGAGCCACCGATAAGCTGCTACACTAAAAGAAAAAGTGGAAGTGGAGCCAAATATAAAAACGTTAAAAAAAAATTAAATAGCGATCTTTTAAGAAAGCAGAGAGGAAATGAAACGAAAAGAATTGTTGAAGTTGAAGAAAAAGTTATGATTAATTAATTAATTATTATTGTGGTTAATCTGCCTTTTTATCTGGTTTGTGCTCTAAATATTTTTGTGCAGTGATTTTACAGGGAATGCAGAACGAGAAAGCGCTTTCGACGTTGTCTTTCCTAAGAATGACCCAGTTTTAATGCAATAGCTGTATTCGGTCTGGCCTTGGCCTTGAATGTTAACGTCACATACGATCCACATTTTGATAGGAAGAAAACGGTTGTTGTCTTGGCTGCTTCGCTTAGCGTAAAGATAAAATAATAAAATAATTGAAATTAAATACAACTGCAAGGAAGGCAGCGTCTGTTGAATTTAAACCAACAAAATGATTGCTTAACTATATCTTTTATGTTATTATGTTCCCATTTTAGTTATATTTCCAACTTTTAGAGTTTAATTTAACATTACATCATATTTAACCTCTCTTATTTTATTTATATATACTTGGATGCTGTTATTTATTGCATTTATTTAGCCCAACTAGGGAAGAGCATGTTTCATGGAAAATAGGAGAACTAAAACAGAATTTTGTAGAATAAATTATAGTTAATTATGAAATACTAATTCGTCTCAATTGGGGACCATGCAGGACCCAAAGTCGGGAAGGAGGATCCATAGGACTTAGAAGCGTGTCACAAGGGATTCCGGCTACACACAGCTAGGAGGCGGTGAAGTCATGGTAGGGTGGGCGATCTGCTGCTGGATCACCATGGCTGCTACGCTTCCGCATGTGTTTGTGGACAAGCAGGTTCCCCTTTTTGTTTACTCTTTTACCTTCTCTCATCCATTCTTTTGTTGTTGATTTTTCTCTCTTTCTCCCGCCAGCACGCGAAAATAAAATATGAATATATATATCCGACGACTTGGTGACTCTTTAGGACCCTCTCCATACTCTCACTCCCAGATACCGACCAGACCCATAGCCGGACCACTTCTCGTGCCTCCCAGAGAAGTTACCCCCCTCCATCCGTCATCCGATACCCATACAATATCCTTAGTGATATATTACACAAGATTCAACATATGCCAAAGACATGGCTACGACAATAACAGGTTAAGGTAATGAGGAACACTGATTAATCATTAAAAAAACCAAAGGTCCCTTATAGATTCAACAATTAATGTCATAAAAAGAGCCGAACAACTGGAACAAATACTAAGACACTTAAAGACCGGACAAATTCTTTCAGTTTCTCCAAGTATCATCTTTACGGCATACCAAATGAAGAAGGGTGGAGGAGCTATTGTAAATGATTACGTCATCATTAAAGTCAGTTTTCCATTGATTTAGTCACAAGTATTAGACATCTACAAACTGGCCAGAATTCCATTCATATTTCAGGAAGGGATCCAGTCGAAACAAGAGTACCTTTTCTGGCAATCAATAGTCACCGTGATGAGTTCGTAGAAATGTCAGATTCTGACTTTAAGACTTGCCAAGAAAGGGCTAAGAACGATTTCAACTGCTACAATAAGCAAGCCATGTTTCTTCAGAGACAAGTTGTGAGGTGAAATTGATTTATAATAAAACAGATTCTTCTTGCAAACTAATAACTACCAAAAAAGCATTTATCTGGCTTGAAACTTGATAATTGCTCGGAGCTGCCACCAGCAATTTATTGATAAGATTGCATTTGGTCGCTGTCCAGCTACCTAAATAATCTCTGGAAACTCGGGACACTAGGGTCAAATAGGCGCACAATTGTGTTATTTCGGGTCATAAACAGAATCCCACGATCGGTCACGTATTTCACACCTGTTGCATGCAGACTTCGCAGGAATTTGTTATTTAAGTAGTGCACATGGCTGTTCCACCTGTTTTTGTTTTAATAGGATAGACCCAATCATTTGATAAATGTAACCCAAAGTAGACCTAAAATAAATATCCCTTAACCCAAGAACATGTATATAAACCCCATGCCGTATGTAATAAAATCAGTACGAAAAGATTTCTTGACGTATTTACTTCTCCGCAGCTCAAATTGTACTTATCGCGGCGACTATTGATACTTGTATTTTACATGAAGCACGCAAAAGAAAAATATATATATATATATATTTAGCATTGGGATAGTTGATTCCGCACACTTGTAAAATTTGTATTAAAATATATGGTTTAACTCACCCACTACGTGCTGCATCTTCCGCGGAAGTACTGCAGAATGTTAGTGGGTATTCTTACAGGTCGCTGCCTGTCTGCTGCACATGCAGTCAAGCTGGGTATTACCGACAACGCCAAATGCCGGAAATGTGATGAATCCGAGTCAACCGAAACCTTGGAGCATCTCATTTGCAAATGTCCGGCACTAACGAGGGCAAGAGTGAGATACCTAGGCTCTCCAGTTCTGCCATCGCTAGAAGATGCCTCCAGGAGGAAGCCAGGCGAACTCCTTGCCTTTGCGAAAAACACCTTGATATTCAAGGATCTCGAAACCCGCATAAATAGTCTCTAGGTCCATCCAGGAGTTTCCCTGGATAGCTATGGGCCATATGGGCCTATGTGTGGCCCCTCGAGGGCAGTCGGGTCTAACCTAACCTAACCTAACCTATAGTTTATTTAGATAATTATTATGCTGAGATTAAGGTACAATGAAGTATGCGGGATAATATAAACTAATAGCAACTGCTAAAAAAACTTTAGTCGACTTCAACAACTTTGACTTTAGACGACTTTTAGTAGCTTTCTTTACCAATTCAATTAAATGACTCCCGAAAATCCGACTGCATCTGATGACTTCTCTTTGTGATTGCTACTCTCCTTTTCCAGCTTCTCTGCACTTCTTTTTAATGGTCACTTTGCTCATCGCCGATCAGTCGATTGCCATTCACAATGAAGCAAAATGTGTACCCGTTGCCCGACTGTACCTCATTTCATATATTTATTTGTATTTAAACAAACCGCTTAACTTAGTTGAGAGTTCGAGAATTAAATGAGGATTTGTAAATTATGCCTACTCATCCCAAATTTGTTAAGGTGGTGTTAAAATGGAAATTACATGTGTCTTCCATCATCACCCGATTCAGTATAAAAAATATATATTCAATTTCCATATCCATTTAAGGTATTTTTTCTGATAAGATTTTAATTGGTTTAATTTGTTTTCTTTTTTACTTATAATCGATTGTTATATGTTGGGGAATATATTAAATATAATGCTTAGTTATATAGATCAGTGATAAACTTTAGTCGCAACATCTGTATTCTATGACGTATTAGTAAATGTTTCAAGGCAATAACTTAAAACCAAAGCTATTTTTATATTTTTATTTGTATTCTACTTTCGCTCGTCGCAAAAGAAAGGAGCAAACTATTATAATAACGTTTGCAAACGTATATAAAATATTCATCTTTAGCATACCATTCATCCGTGGAATACATTAAATAATCTAATAAAACTAATATTCGAAATAATTATATTTAAAATTTACATTATTAATACGGAACTTATTATTCGCAAACAATTGTACCATCGACCTTACAATAGAGGACTCATTAAGAAGACGTGTATGATCAGCTTCCGTTGAAGCGGCTTGGCACTAAAGTAATTCTCTGGTTTTTGTTTAACTCTTCCTGCATTACTTTGACTGTGCTTTAATTCTTATTAAAAAAACAAATTTTCAGGATATTTTGTATATACCAGTTGTTTTTGTTTCTTTCTTGGGACGCCAATACATACATAGATGGTTTCATATGTATATTGCATACTAAGATGCATGAAAATATGGTATACGTATGCAAATATAAAAAAAATGTTTACATTATTGTCCATCTAAAAATAAATTCCCGAGTACGAAGCTGTTTCGGAAACAAAAATATTTTTACAGAAACAATTCAAAGGGAATACTTATGCTCGCTTTTCAATTTTGTTACAATAATTGTTTTTGTTTTTGCGAAAATAGTCTCACCGAATGCAACGAGTGCTGTTTGTAAAATTTATTTGATTCTAAGATTATGGCGCCGAAACCAATAGATATAATTTGCACTATAAGAAAATCTATATTAATTCACAGTCTTCAATCATAGCAGCAGTACATTGGCATGCTTTTACACTAATAAAGCGATCGGTTAACGGGCGTAAAACGTTTTTATTACCCAATACTAGCACAGATATCAGTGTAAAACAACAACTTAAAAGCCATTTTATTTAAATATTTGTATAGTGGCAAAATTTATTAAAATCATAAAATACAAAAATTTCTTTTTGGAATATAGTCGACTGTATCGGAGAAAATGAGTGTAAGTTAAACATGGTTTGACGTCAATATTGAAATCTGTGGATGTAATAAAAATATAAATAGTGCGTCGAGTTACTATAAAAATATATAACAACAGTTCTTCCTGGTAAAAAAGAAAAGTAGAAGCCAAAGAGAATTAATTTTAAATACGTGTTATTTAAGGGGGGATATATGTACTTGTAAACGGTCAAAGTTTTGGCATTTTTCATGGATTTTTTTTGTAGAAAATAGTCAAGCAATCATCGTGAAACGTTCAAGATAGTTAATAATAAATAATAACTTACAAAATGGCGGACTTATGGAATATATGCCGTGGCGCATCGAGCTTTGAGTTTCCCGGCTATGGACACGATAGAGCTCGTAAGACCTGTTGCTATATGTGCTTATTATACGTTTATCTTCTATTTGAACCTAAAAAACCCTAAAGATATTATGAAAAAAAAATTTAATTCAGTTTTGAAGAAAAAAAGTTCAATTTTCAAGAAATTTGATTTCACTTTCCACCCTCTTAATAAATACCAAAACTCAGTTTTATTACACCTATTTATGTTCAAAAATAAGATAAATTTCATGCTTATCATAATAATTTTTGATTCACTGCGATATAATACATCGTTTTTTTGTAAATCGTGTCTATAGCATAGTTAAAAATTCAAAAAATAAAACTGAGAAAAAGACGTTTAAAATTTAGGATGCGCCCATGTTAACAGTTGTATTCGAATTCAATAATGAAATTTACACAGTATATTCTTTAAGTAATAAGCTATTTATAAACAAAAAAAAAAAAACAAAAAACAAAGAAACCCAAAAAATTGCTTAATGAAAAAAATTATAAACATTATTTCGGCATAATATTGGATTATTATATCTTGAACCCACCTATGGTATAGCATACTTCGCCGATATTAACGTGTTACGTAGGCATTTTGGTATTCTATTTGTATTCGCTTGCAAGATATTATAATTTTAGACAAAAGTTTGTAACGCAGTAACGGAGTCATATCCGACCCTATAAAGTATATACATACATATATATTCTTGATCAGCATCAACAGCCGACTCGATCTAGCCCTGTCCTTCGGTTCGTCTGTCCGTCCGTGCGTCCATTTCTACGCAAACTAGTCCCTTAGTTTTAAAGCTATCTGAATGAAACTTTGCATATAGTCTTCTATATACTCTCCCTGCTATATATGTCGGAACGGGCCGGATCGCACGACTATATCATCTAGCTGCCATACAAATGCTCGATAAACTTTTAGAAAAAAAAAAATTAAAACTTAGCTGTTTTTCAACATATTTGCATCATTTTTGAGGTTTGGCTATTATATATTATTTCAAATTTTTATACCCTTGCAGGGTATTATAATTCCAGTCAGAAGTTTGCAACGCAGTGAAGAAGATGTTTCCGACTCTATAAAGTATATATATTCTTGTTCAGCATCAACAGCCGAGTCGATCTAGCCATGTCCGTCTGTCCGTCTGTTCGTCTGTCCATCTGTCCGTCTGTCTGTTTCTACGCAAACTAGTCCCTCAGTTTTAAAGCTATTTGAATGAAACTTTGCATATAGTCTTCTATATACTCTCACTGCTATATATGTCGGAACGGGCCGGATCGGACGACTATATCATATAACTCCCATACAAATGTTCGATAAATTTTTAGAAAAAATATTATAACTTTGCTGTTTTTCAACATTTTTGCTCCATTTTAGATATTGCCATTTTATATTATTTCTGAATTTTGGTAAAAATTTTATGAAAATCGGACGATTATATGATATAGCTGCCATAGGAACGATCGGGAAATTAATAGGAAAAAAATTATAGCTTCGTTGTTTTTCAACGTATTTTTATCTACTCTGGGATATAAGCTTATTTAATTATTCTAGAATTTTGGTATAAATTTCATGAAAATCGGGCAACTATATCATACAGGTGCCATAGAAGCGATCGGTAAATGTATAAAATATGTAAAGCTGGAATGTAAAACTGTAACTGTCAAACTGTAAACATAATAAGTATAGGTAAAATGTAATGAAACTCTGTTTTGTGAGTGTTTTCAGCATTTAAATCTATAATATAAACGTCAAATCCAATCTGCAAGGGTATACAAACTTCGGTGTGCCGAAGTTAGCTTCCTTTCTTGTTATTTATCAAACATAAAAATCAATTCAATTTGTGATCTTTTCCTATAATTGTCTAGTGATTATAGATTTGAGAAAAAAAAAGTTGATACATTAATTTAATGGCTTTATTTATTTATTGGTAAAATTATTCCTGACGCTACAAGTTTAAAATAAACAACAACGTACATTAAACTTAGATTTTATTATTTTGTGTCGGTGTGTCGGTCCTCGGATAGCTCGCGGGACGTCCAGGGTCTGTTCAGGAATTAATTTGGTTCAGGCATGGTTGCTGTACAAGATCCCAACCCAGTCTCACAGTAGAACGCTAGAGGATTATGCTGTAAAAATGTATATTAATGTTTATTGACTTAAAAGGTACAATTCTCAATAATTTCATGCCGAGTCTCGCTTCTGGGTTACGCCGTGGTTCCGATTCGTCCTCCTCGTCTTGATTTGCGGCTGTCCGGTAAGGAAGATACTGATAGTTTCGCCAGAAGATAGGTCACTTGGACTCGAAAGTCATCCACGAGCGAATGCGTTCGGACTCGAAGTCATCCACGTGGGGATGTGTCCGGACTCGAAAGTCAACAGACCCCCGTTGTGGTTGCACTCGGAAGTCAACAGAACAAAGTTATTGTCGGACTCGAAATTCAGCACAGAGATACATGTTGTTGGACTCGAAAGTCTGCACCGAGAATGGTTGTTGGACTAGAAAGCCAGCTCAGGGAAGTTATTGTCTAACTCGAAAGCCAGCTCAGAGAAGTTTATTGAACTCGAAAGTCAGCAGAGAGATTTTAACTACGATTTATTTATAGGAACCTGGGTTCCCAAAAACTGAATTCGCTGCTAACTACTGCGAATTTAACTCGACCCAATCGCATTCGGCTGATAAAAGAATTCTCTAGTGCCGTGGCCCACTAGGCCCTGCAATAGTGTGGCCAGCCTCCGTTCGGTCCAGTGTGACCCTCCACTCGTGATCTTTGGCGTGCGCGCGCATTTAATTCAAATGGTTTTCTTAATGTCGCCAATCCCTTTTTCGATATCGCTTAATGTTCTTATTCTATTCTAGTTCTAATATATTTGTGCGCTTATACGCGTCAAAATTTTTCACGTTTTTAAATCTGTGTAACAGTATTCGAATTTAAAAACCTCAAAGCACAAACCCCTCCTCTCCGATGGACGATTTCTTACAATCCATCGAAGAAGCTTCAGAAGATGAAACTGAGAAGCAAACAGATTATATAAAAAAGTATTTGCTGAAATTTATGGCTATGATGAGAAGCCAATTTCCTAGACGTCCAATATTATGGAGTGTGGGGAGAAAAATTTGACAGTCCAAACTTATATCAGCTAGCATCTTATTCCTATAGAAAAGCACGGTGGTGGGGAGTTTCATGGTGTCGCTAGCAGTTGCAGCCTAATGAGTGCGAATTTTGATCTTCATCGTGAGTAATATGGATCGTATTCAGTAAAATACCATGTTAGAACATAATTGTACAGCATATGTGGACAATTTATGCACCTGTTCGAGCTGGATCTTCCAACATATCCGACGGAGGAGGATTCAAAGGATTCCGAATCTGAAAATATTCTGATATGAAGCCGATGAAAATTGGTTCTAGTTCAGGAAAGATGACCGCAGTGCTTAGTAATAGTCTAGCTGCCAAATCTGTCCCGATTCAGGTTTTATTGACTACCTTAGACAGGAAAGGGTGAAAATAATAGACACCTTGCAGGTGGCGATTTACCTGTACAAGCCCAAACAACACTTTCTTTAATTTGAATAAGAGTTTATGAATGTACCTGTTATATAAAGCAAAAACCATGACTATTGGTTATACAGTTTTGTGTTATATTACCTGAAAGCCGATTTTTTATTTTTTTGTATGACGCATAAAGCGTTCAACACTGAGTGCTTATATTACCCACCAAAAAAATATTAAAATTATTTTGATTAAAGATTCGGAATCCTTGGAAAATTCTCCGTCGGTTTTGCGACTATGACATTTCCAATTTCGACAACGGCTTTTGTTTAAAAGACGCTACTGTCCAACGGTCCGGGCAGCAACGCCAATGCACCAGCAGTCTTAATAGTGAGATCGCCTGGATAAATAGCCTCCTTGCTGATTTTAACATAGCTGACAATATTAGAAGTGTTAAAAAAGGAGCGTGAGATTAAAAGAGCAGCTCCACAAAACTTTAAACAAATCAAGAGTGAAAGAAAAAAATATGTTCTTTACAATGCTTAGTGAAATTAGTAAGGTTAAAGTTAGCGTATCCATAATAAAATAAAATCGTGACCATTCGGTTACGAAAGTAACGCAAGCATTTTTATGTCTTCTTTTAGAATTTTGGTTTTATTGTATAATGTTTGTATCCTAATTCAAGATCAAGAGTCATAATTAAATCCCTAACATTCTTGATTTTATCTCGGGTTTGGTAAAAAAAAAATATAAAATGTTGAATATTTTTGAATCCTAAAGAAATCCGCTATAGGTAATACTAAACCTTCATAATACCAAACACATCTAAATTAAACCCTTGTTGTGAAAGAATTTTCTTTAATCTGTAATTATAGAGCTACAAATGGTTATAATTACTTAAATTATTATATATTATATATACACTTATATTTATATATATTATTTATATATATACATTTCTTGATCCCCGGCTGGGATTCGAGCATAAAGTCGATTTTTTTATGTTAATATATCGTTGTTTTCTTATTTTAATTTTAAAGTAAATTCATCATACGTTATAAAAATGTTAATTAAAAACTTTAAATGTGCCATCAAAGCTTATTGAGAGCTTTTAAAAGTGCGATTGCGATCAGCTCATTTCCGAATATAAATTCGCGCTAAAATATTTAGTTGCTTTATGTTGTGAAAGACACATAATTTTGGTCCAAAAAATTCAACTAAAATATGGAAAATTATCTTCAAGGTACGCACTATTTAATGTATATTGTTATTTTATGTGTAGTTCTACGTATTTAGTGTTGTGTAATGTCCAATTTATGTGTATGTTTTTAGAAAACTAACATGCGTTCTCCGTGTTTCGTGGAATATAACTAATAAGCTGCTCCATGCTGACAGCAACTAATTGGTCCAGATTGTACTCGTGGGTGTTGTCTTTAACCACAAACAAAAAACTCATCCCCGTTCGTCCCCCTTTTCTAACATTTTGGTAATATACATAGTTTAGTCACAGCGAACTTTTCAAATTATGGAGCAGCAACAATCGAAACATTCAATCTGTATCGAAGTGACTATGCACCAAAATTAATAAAGACACTGTAAAATCCAAGAAAATAAAGGAAATAGATTAAAAATGCAGTAATTTTTATAGTGATATTCATAAATATCTTCCCAAAAGTAACTACGTTCTTGAACGGTTCATTTCTTCCAATAATTCTAATTATAAATTCGGAAAAATATCTCTCTTTTTTTTAACTTTTTCATTATATATGCGTTAAATATGTATATGATAAATGGTAATTATGTATATATATAAAAATTATAAATTAAATATCAATCAGTTTGCAGAGGCGGCAAGAGTGGGCGTGGTCGTATTGGCCCAATATTTTGTACACAAGTTGTTAATGCCACAACAACAAAATCTGCGAAGTTTGAACCCTGTAGCTCAATTTTTCGACTTTATGCAAAAAAAAACGGATTCTGGACCATAGTGCCATGTCTCAGACTTCACAGACCGACCGCTTTCCAACTGGACCACTGAAGCAAATCAGACACTAATGTCGGGAATTCATAGAGTTCCAAGAAAAGAGCAAAAAAAAAGTATATCTCTCTCTTTCTAGGCTAAAAATAGATTTTTAAGGAATGGTCGTAAGAGCGTGAAAATCTTAATTTAGGATTTATTTCTTGATATTTATAGTTTTTGGTATTGCTTTATGATTATGGTATTCTTTTTAAAATATTTGGTATTAATTTAATCACAAACTGCTTATCAAGTCTTTTACCTGATTTCGAAATTTTTGATTATTTCCATGTTGATCTCGACCCATAAGGGTATAAAGTAGAAATATTTGCAATTCTGATATCTAAAATTTATATATTTAATAAAACACAAAATACAAATTTTCAAAACTTTTTTTATTTTACTTTAAGGACGAATTGACCAAGGAGCAAACTGCTTGTAAGTTATAACTAAGGTTTATTGGAATATTCATTGTAATTTTAATTTAATTTTTTTTACAGTACTGCGCAACGCATTTAATGCGTTTGACCCAGAAAAGAATGGATACATTAATACAGCAATGGTGGGAACCATTCTGAGTATGTTAGGACACCAACTTGATGATGCTACTCTGGCCGATATTATCGCTGAAGTTGATGAAGATGGATCCGGTCAAATTGAATTTGAAGAATTTACAACATTGGCTGCCCGATTTCTTGTTGAAGAGGACGCGGAAGCCATGATGGCTGAATTAAAAGAAGCATTTCGCCTTTATGACAAAGAAGGAAATGGCTATATTACCACAGGTGTACTTCGTGAAATTCTTCGGGAACTAGATGATAAACTTACAAACGACGACTTAGACATGATGATTGAAGAAATTGATTCAGATGGATCCGGAACCGTAGATTTCGATGGTAAGCACATTAAATAATTAATTAATACTAATACAATAACAATCACATTATAATTTTTTCACTTTATAGAATTTATGGAAGTTATGACAGGCGGCGACGATTGAACGCAATATATAAATTATGTCCATACTTTCCAGATTGGTATGAAAATAAAAGTAATTCAATTATAGGAAATATGAAACATAAAAGTAAATAAATATTTAAACTTTCGGAGTTGTAATATTTTATTAGAACAAGCAACCTTTGGGAAGCCTTGCAGTTTGCAATTAGACTGATTTGATAAAATACAAATCTTTTTGAAGTCTTTAAAACATTTTTGAATAACAAACATCTGATGAGTTTTTCTATATTTTCAGACAACGCAACCGATCGATCGCAACTATACTTGTTTTATGACATTCTGGGATGTTTCTATTTATATATATTTTTTTTTTTGTATTTACTGTATGAAGTATATTTTCGTATGTTTTTTGGTATTCATTGTAATATTTTTGCATTCGACCTTCATCGAGTGCAGACGTGCTTACGAACGACCGCTACGTGGGGTTTATTCTCGAAGTGTTTTTTGATGGTGAAAAGTAAATTCGGAACTATAAACTACGTACTGATAGTTAGGCCAAGCCCTACAGTACATATGACATACGGACACTAGTTCTTGAGACGTGTTTTTGAGCGGCAAAGTTCATTTATATGGTGCCACGCGTAACAAGCTCAAAATAATGAGCGACGATCAAAAGAATCGGCGTAGAAGCTCTGTAAACCAAAGATAAGGTTGATTCGCGTATTTCTCCATTCACGATATCGAAGCAGAAAAAGCGTCCACCAAGCCCACCCCGGCTCTACTGACCGCCGATGGCAAGAGAGCGCGCTCTTGCTCACCCGCCGTACTCACTCCAACTCTTACATCTTGAAACTATCAATGCCAAACCCCATCACGACCGGCTTCGATGCAAGACGCACCAACTATAAGAAGTGCTACAATTTCTGCAAATGCAGCAAGAGCAACAGCAACAGTAACAGTAACAAAAACCGTAAGCTCCGATAAGCAACAAGCGGTTCCGGCCATACAGACTGACATGGATCGCTACATCCAAATTAAGCGTAAGCTTAGCCCACATAACACGGTTGGTAACCAACTCAAGATCAACCGTGTCACCAAAAGCTACGACCCAAAAAACTCCAACAGATTTTCTCCGCTAGCAGCCGATGAGAATAACCAAGCAGAGCCGGAGCAGGAGACTCAAAAACAGCCAAAGCCCCCACCCATTTATATTAGGGAGAAAAGCTCAAACGCCCTGGTCAGGGACGGAAACTTTAATGTTGTTCCGCTTATTAAAGGGAACATTTGCGAAACAAAAATTCAAACCAAAACAGAAGAACACTTTTGAGCTGTGTCTAAATACCAGCGGGAATCAAAAACGAACTTTTACACCTATCACTTTAAAAGCAGCAACGGACTGCAAGTAGTGCTATCAGGAATTGAACCAGACGTCGCCCCTTCTGAGATACTACAAACCCTTAGAGCAAGGGTTTCCTTGCCAAGAATGTTAGCAACATTATCAACAAAAACAAAAAGCTGCAACTTGAGCCAGATAGCAAAGCCCTAAAGAAGAATGAAGTTCACCCGATCTACAAGTTGAGTTTCTATTGCATCGAAGAATCACCGTAGAAGAACCGTACAATCGCAACAGTCCTGTGCAATGCACAAATTGCCAGGAGTATGGACATACAAGGACATACTGCACCCTTCGGTCAGTCTGAGTAGTCTGTGGAGATTTCCATAATTCCGCACACTGCCCTGCGAACAAAGAAGACCCAACTACGAAAAATGCGTGGTCTACAAGGAGCTGAACAGTCGCATGCGACGAGCGACAGCTACACGCCAACAAAATGCACAAAATGTGTATTATAATTCAAAAACTACTCCAGATGTATTTTTTGCCAAATCAGCCAGATCTTCTTTTGGTCCGCTAAATGCCCCCACGGGCATCTCCTAGGCCAAAGCTCTACGAACTGGTATGCAAAATCCACTCCCCTCAAACTCAGTAAATGCTCAGCAGGCCCCAGGGCAGCCACAAAACTACCTGGAATCCATGACGGTGATCATGCAACAAAGTATGATGGAACTCATGTCATTTATGAAAACGACCATGCAAACGCTTGTCCAGAATCAGAATATGGCGATACAGTTGCTTGTAGCACAACAGTCGAAATAATCAATGTCCAATCTACGTATATCCACGTGAAATGCCAACGGCGTCTCACGGCATAAACTTGAACTAACACCATTTCTAAATGAAAACCACATCGACGCCATGCTACTAGTTGAAATGCACCTCACAAGCAGATACAACTTTCACATAAGAGGTTATATCTTCCACCGCTCAGATCATCTAGATGGTAAAGCACACGGCGGGATCGCCGCTCATTATTTTGAGCTTGTTACGCGTGGCACCATCTAAATGAACTTTGCCGCTCAAAAACACGTCTCAAGCACTAGTGTCCGTATGTCATACGTACTGTAGGGCTTGGCCTAACTATCAGTACGTAGTTTATAGTTCCGAATTTACTTTTCACCATCAAAAAACACTTCGAGAATAAACCCCACGTAGCGGTCGTTCGTAAGCACGTCTGCACTCGATGAAGATCGAATGCAAAAATATTACAATGAACACCAAAAAACATACGAATAAAATATATATCCAATTTTTACATTGCAGGAGACCGCGCTATATAGAGCGCGGTCTTAAGCGAGGCAGCGCGGCGGTTGGCTCCAAAGGCTAGGATTGGCGGCAGAAAATCACCAGAAATGACGGCAGAATATATATGGCCACTATGGGCGGCAGGAAATACGCTAGTCTTGGCAGCAACCACTAAGGTTATGGTCGGCCGTTTACCGGAACGGACCCAGCGTGGTCCTCCAGATGACTTGGTGGCTTGTAGATGCGCCTGATGGCGGCTTGCTGGCGCTCAGGCGGCCTGGTGTTGGAGCCTAATGGCGCGCAGGTGTCTTGGTGATGGAGGGGCTCTCCCAGTCCAAAATCCCGTCAGCGGCTCGGAGACACGGCAGAACAAAAACACATAAAAAATCCGTTGCCCGTGCAATTCGCCACGCCACGCTGGAAGAAACTTCCTTTTAATCACCGATTTGGTTTTCTGTGACACTGCACTCACGTTTTATTTCTGCTGCTGATCCGGCTGCCGTCACATAATTTATTCCATCTTTATTGCCCCCTCTTATGACAGATTGATATCTCCCCCTAATTAAGTGCATTTTTATTATCTAAACCACTCTAATTTTGACAGCTAATCCATTAATTGCATTTTTACCTCTACCTCGACCAGGTGGGTGCTCAACTCGTCGGCCGTTAGCTTGGCGTTGCCGACCCCTCTCAGCAGTCGATGCTTGGGGGATTTGACGGCTGCCTCCCACAGTCCTCCAAAGTGTGGTGACCTCGGCGGTATGAAACATCACTCGACACCTCTCTGAGCCGCGTACCCTCTCAGCTGATCCTCGCTGTGGTGAAACGCTGCGTTCCGCTCCTGCAGCACGTTGCTCGCTCCTGCGAAATTCGTGGCGTTGTCGCTGTACACCTTCTTCGGCAGCCCTCTCCTCCCGACGAACCTTTTAAAAACAGATAAAAAACTGTCAGTGGATAGGTCTGTCACAAGCTCAAGGTGAACAGCCTTTGACGAGAAAGACATGAAGACGGCCACATACGTCTTAATCGGGGGTTTACCGCGGATCTTCAATGATACATAAAATGGACCGCAGAAGTCTACCCCACAAACCAAAAAGGGGCGAGCCATTTTGACCCTATCGGCGGGTAAATTATCCATTATCTGGTCCATTAGCACTGGTTTGTACCTAAAACAGTGTACGCAGCTACGGACAATTTTAGTGCATGCTCCTCGAGCATTAATAAGCCATATCTGCTGTCTCAAGAGCGATACCAAAACCTTGACACCAGCATGGTAATGAGTCCGATGTAAGTTGCGAAGATACAACGAAACAAATTCTGACTTCGATGGCAGTAACAACGGAAATTTGGCATCATACGGAATTGGCGCGTTTAATAATCTTCCCCCAACCCAAATTAATTGAAACGAAATAACAACATCGCGTTGCCGCTTCTTCCCTTGAATAAATCGATTTACGTATGCCATGATCCACATTAATTTATTAAATGACGAACATCGTCCAACAAGTTCAATAAAGACATTCGGTTGGTTTTTTGTGATGGAACATACTGCTACGCTTTTTGTATTCTCGGACAACTGTAACTCCTGTGATACCTCAATCTGATGAGAACTAGGCCACTCGTCTGGATTTCGCATTTAAAATTCAGGTCCATTTTCCCATACATATCTGTTCCACAGCCGGATTCTCTTCCGTAGGCACATGACGCCAAACTATATTCTCTGCGAGTTCTTGGATTTCAGCAACTCTATTCGCGATAAATGTTGCTAAAGTAGACGGATCCCTCTTTAACCAATATAGAGTGACTTGGGAGTCTGACCAAAAATTAACGCTCTCCAACTCTATCTTGTGTAGCAAAGGAGATACTTGAGTCCATAGCTTGGCCAGCAAATGCGCTGCACATAATTCGAGCCTTGGAATTGATTTGGTTTTTAGCGGGGACACTCGTGACTTAGCGGTTAGCAGTCTCGATAAGCTATTTGTCCCAGCCACCGTGCGAACATAAATGCAACAGCCGTAGGCGTGGCTCGATGCGTCAGCAAATCCGTGGATCTGAACATTGTCATAGGCCGACAGACAGATATATCGAGGAATGGATATCTTGTCAATCTCTGATAAATTCTGCTTAAATTCGTTCCAACTTGTATGCAATTTCATGGGAACTGATTCATCCCAATCTCGTTTTTGTCGCCAAAGCTCCTGAAGCAAAATTTTTGCTCTTGTGATCAACGGACACAATAGCGCCAAGGGGTCAAACAAACGAGCTGTGACGGACAAAATGTTGCGTTTCGTGGGAGGTAAGGATTGAAACGAATCCTCCAAATTATAATGAAATGCATCATTCTGTGGGTTCCACCTCATTCCTAGCGTCTTAACGGACTCAGAGGTGTTAAATATAAGCGATTTTTCTGGTCCCTGGCTAGTCATCAAACTTGGATGATTTGTTGCCCATTTCGCTAGATGGAAACCCCCTAACTCCAAAGCCTCAGTGACTTCCTTGCGAATCACTTCC